GGTGCCTCCAGCCGTTTCTGCAAGTCAAACAGGAAGCATGCCGTCACCGCTGCATAGACAGATCCACTCAAAGAGCAGCCCTGGATGATCCCAGACGAAATACGCCACGCAAGGGTAGGGGACCCGTTGAGCATGACCAGCGCATCCAATATGTGGTAAAGTTGTTCCAAGACCGCCATGAAGGCGAAGGGCGCACGCATCCGCTGGAAGACCATAGTCATAAAAGCTTGAGCGAGACTAGGGAAGGCCGCACCAAAATCCAGCGCGACGAGGGCGGGCATATCTGTAGTGGCGCCAGGGGCGCTGGAGTAAACTCGGGAGGCCACGTCAAGCTCTAAGACGTTGGTGCCGAAGTTGCGCTTGGGAATGAAGCCCCGTTGAGACCGCGGCGCCCAGTCCATGAGCAGCTTGCTGAACTGAAGGTTGATAGTCGCCGTGATCAGTTTGATGTCTGCATTGCGAAGGCCCAGGACACGAACCGAGCTCGGGGCATGAGTGCACCCAGTGGCCCATGAGTCGCCCACCTCCTCGCCCTTAGGTAGCCATACTTGGAGCGTGTCGTTGGAGCTCTTGAACAAGAACTGCCCACTCATGACCCACATCATGGCTTCAGCCAGAACATCGAGGCCAATATCAGATGCTGCCCAAGCTGAATACGGAATAGAGTAAATGCCAGGCTCCGAATAATGCATCTTGCGAGCAACACGGCGAAGCAAAGCAGGGGACGGAGGCGCCACCCGCTCGAAGTCCAGCGGTGGGACGTGCTGCTCGATGTAAGACTGCGCCAATTGTTGGTCAATATTCTTCGCCCTGGAGATCGGAGCCCAATGGTCAATTAAGCGCTGCGTCATAACAGCCGAGTCACTCGATGCATGTGCGGTGCCATTGGGGTGTTTGACTGCACGAAGGACCAGACGACGGTTCAAGGGAGACCAAATCGCTGAACGGCGCTCGACTGCAGCCAGCTGGTGCCTGAGAGCCTGAGGAGCCTGAGGCCGCGCAAGTTGTTCTTCAAGGCGTCGACGAAGATGATCAGCATGCCGTCGTTGGATATCATCGCACCAGCTCTGAAAGGAAGCAGGGTGACGAAGTTGGACTCTGCGCCGTGATAGGTCAAGAAAGTCAGCCGCCGAGGAGTGATTAGAAACCAGCAAGGAAGCCAACCGAAAGTCGTTGCGCCAAACTACTCGAGCAATCTGACGGGCCAGAAGAAGCCGAGAGTGAAGCGATTCAGGTGCACACGTGACTTGTCTATCACGAGAGTCAGCAGCTACTTCCCGTAAGGCCCACCTGTGAAGTTCCACCTGGCGCAGAGGACTTTTGCTGGCATAGTCGAGACTGGAACGCACCGCTTCAAGCTGTTGTCGATAGCCCACAGCTTCAAAGAGATGACGAGGAATCCGCTGCTGCTTACGGGGTTTCGCAAGACGCTGGGTGAGCCGAACAACGTGAGCTGCGTGGTCGCTCACACAACGATCTGCAAGAGCCTCAGGACAATCCACGACAGAGGGCTCGGAAGTAATCTGCGCCATAATCAACCCGGGCCAGCTGCACCAGAAGCGGTCCAAAATAGAAACTGAGTGCGAAAGCCGATCGTAATGAGTAGGCTCATCTGAAGAGACCTCTATCATATCTTGAAGAGCCCGTTTCCAACGTGCCGCATGAGCATGCTGTCCTTTGCCTTCGCGAAGGTGGCGATCAGGCTGATGAAGAAGCAGAGGAGGCCGAGGAGCAGAGTTCATGTCGCCGTGGACTACCACCACGTTGTGAAGCGGGCCCGCGTGAGCACAGGACAGGTCAGTCGCCAAAACCTTTGTGACCAAAGAGAGCTGACCAGGAGAAAGATCATGGTTGTGTACATTGAAATGAAAAATGCGAACGCCTCCCGATGAAAGAACAACCCGAAGAACGCGCCCTCGAACCAGCTCTCGGTGATGAACAGAGGACTCGCATAATGGAGGGGGAATCGTAGCCGCACCACCCCGCACTGCAGACCCCTCACAGTAACTGGTGTAAATACGAGCCTTCGGAGACACTTTGGCAAGAAAGTCCGCTAGCTGCTCCTGGCCCTGGTGAACCTCCTGGAGGGCAACGATGCCTCGAGTGAAGTTCAGGCGCTTGAGGTAGGCAAGCTTGGGACGTGCCTGAGCAGCATGATACTGAAGAAGGGCGCGAGCATTCCACGACGAAAATGAAAAGGATGGTGCACCAGCCAGAGGACCATGAATGGCGGAGGCAAAGCTGCTAAATATTCCACTCTGCAGCTTCAGGCGGTGCAACCACCGCCCGAACAGCTTCGGTCAGACGATCCTTGGGGGGGCCCGAGCTTCTGCACCAAGTTGTCAGCCCAGGCGACCTCGGAAGAGATGTTGCCAGGGTTGGGCGAGATGCGCAGGACCGGGTCCCAGCCTGCCATGATGTAGCCCCTGTCGCGGTCGAAGAACCATTTCTTGTCGCTGACGATGTCAGCGAACGCCGCGCGGATCTTGCGCCCCTGGATCTCGAGCTTGATCTGCCTTGGGTTCTTGTCAGCGCCGATGTGGAGCCTGGCTGGCAAGTTATCAGTGGCCACCACCTCGAAACGTTTCCAGTTGCCAGCCGAGATGCGTTGGGCGCCCAAGACCTTGGCGACCCTGCGAGCTGCAGGGCCAACCGCGCCTGTGAATTGGATCGTGAACTGGCGGGCGACGCTCTCCTCGGAGGTGATCTCGAAGTGCTTGGCCTCCACTCCCCCCGTGGCGATCCACTCCGTGAGAGTCTGCTTGACCTTGTCCAGCCCGACCAACTTGGAGGCCATGATGCGAATGATGGTGGCGTCGACGGAGCGCTCAAAGCCCGCAGCACTGGCAGGCGGAGGCTTCGGGGCCTTGTCTGCAAGCGCCAAGGCACCACGGAGCTCTTCAATCTGTTCTTTGAGAGTTTGCAGAACGGTATCGTGTTCATCCAGGCGTCGTTCAGAAGCTCGTAGTCGAATCGTGTGTCCATCGAGCTGAGCCTGGAACTTGCGCTGGAGCTGGTCGAGCTTGTCTGAGCAGAACTGCTCGGAGGCGTCGCGGGCCATCTGAGGCAGCATCCGAACTCCTTCCGCGAGCTTGCTAGCAGATGCAGCATGCTCATTAAGCTGAGAAGCAAAACTCTGCACCTGCTCGGAGACGGTCGAGGAGACCACAGCCGTGAGGTCCTTGATGAGCTCATCCCTGTGCTCGGCCATCTTCTTTGAGACAAGGTCGCCTGCCAGCCGCTGAACGTATGCGTCGCGGTCGTGCTCCTCGTCGCTTTCTTCCATGGCATCACCATGCTCCTCATCGCCAGCAGCGTGAGCCTGTGCAGGGGCAGGACCATGGGCGCCAGAAGGGTGGTTGCCAGATGCAGCAGCGTCATCATCATGTGAATCATCAGCGACATCCACGGTCTCCCAGGCATCCTCGCCACGAGCGGACTTCTGGAGCTTGCCCTTTGCCTTCTTCTTGACACGGCGCGGCGCGGAGCCAACACGCTCTCCATTAGGCATGCGGTAGTCTCGGCACTCCAGGGGGGTGCGCGTCCCTGGAGCTGGAAGCTGGTGAAAGCTGGCCTCGGATCAGAGGTCTCCACTCTGACCCCGAGGGAGCAAGGCATCTTGAGCCAAAATGGCTACGGAGGGGGAGGAGGAGGAGGAGGAGGAGGAGGAGGAGGAGGAGGAGGAGGAGGAGGAGGAGGAGGAGGGAGGGGGCGGAGGAGGAGGAGGAGGAGGAGGATGAGGAGGAGGAGGAAGAGGAGGAGGAGGAGGAAGAGGAAGAGGTGGAGGATGAGGAGGAGGAGGAGGAGGAGGGAGGTTACGCAACGGACAAAAACACATATCTGTATGTATATATATGTATTTATGTTCATGCATATACATATACTCGGACGCCCTCCGACGAACTTCGCATGTACCTTCAAGGAGAGGGCGGTGCACAAAATCGATGGCTACCAATGGTGATTTCTACACCGCTACCCTACCCTGAGGCCCAAGAGCTATCCAGTGGAGGGCGTCTGTGTGTATATATAAATATATGTATATATAGTGGCGGAGAGGAGGAAGCCCAGTGCAAACCCAAGACTCATCAAGGATGTTGCAGTAAAACTGCCCTCCTATGGGACCTTTTCATTGGTCCCGACAAGGAATCACTGCGGGAAGTGCACCGTGGGAAGACAACCGTCTGAGAATCCTCCATCGTGCCAAAACGACACTCCTGGGACTTCAACGCCGCGAACCGACGTTACTGTTGCGTCCTGGCGATCCTGAATCGTGCCAAAACACCTTTCCTGGGAACTCAACACGCTACGCCCTGACAATCCTAAACCGCGCCGGAATACCATTCCTTGGGCGACAACCATAAGACTCTTTGAAACTCCTTAGAACTGCTGCGGAGTTCGGCGTCCAATGCGGGTGCCGGTGAAGTACTGCTTCGACGGCAAGTTGTGGGGCTCCAGGGGAAGGCCAGATTGTTCATCGAGGAGTGCATGCTCCTGAGGTCTCTCGGCAAGAGCGGGATGCGCGAGAAGGCCTTCGCGCCTTGAGGCTCGGGGAGGCGTCGGGGAGGGCGGACTCTCCCTGGGGCCTCCCCTGCGTGCGGGGGGAGGCGAGGGCCCACAGGGAGTTCCGGCTCTGGCCTTGTGCCCTCTGGTGTCAGGGGGGGTCCGCCCTCCCTTCGAGGGATGCGAAGGAGCCTGCTCCATTGTCAGCCTCAGCTTCAGCTTCACCTCCTCCCCCTGCTCCTCCTCCGCATCATCCTCCTCTTCCCTCCTCCACCTCCTCCTCCACCTCCTCCTCCTCCTCCTCCTCCTCCTCCTCCTCCTCCTCCTCCTCCTCCTCCTCCTCCTCTTCCTCCTCATCATCATCACCATCATCATCACCCTCATTCTCTGCCTCCCCGTCCACACTCCCACCCCGCATGAGTGACCAGGGGGGGACCCAGGAGGGGAAGGCGGATGGAGGAGGGGGAGGCGGAGGAGCGGTGCTCGCATCAAGCGGGCGCCTTGGCTGCCCACATGCACGTCAGGACGAGCAGCACGAGCACGAACTGGGCGGCGGCGATCGGGGAGCACGACTCGAGGCGCACAGGAGGAGGAGGAGGAGGAGGAGCAGGAGGAGGAGGAGGAGGAGGAGGAGGAGGAGGGCTCAGGCAGAGGAGGCAGGGGGCTGCTTCGCTCGCCCTGGCTCTGCAGCGTGGGCTGCACCAATCACCAGTCGGGCCGCTCCTGGGCAGGGCAGGAGAGCCCAGAATCGAATCGATAAGTCGGATCGGCGATCGAAATCGATCGGATCGGCGGAAATCGGCAGCCGAGTCGGGAGAAGTCGAATCGGCGGAAGTCAGGAGGCTCGTAGGCCTCTGTAAGGAGATCGGAACCCAAATCGGAATCCAACATCGAATCGAATCGGAAGCGGAGTCCATCGAGAAATCGAATCGAATCGGAAGCCTCGAAAGGAACCCTGGCAGGGGGGGGCGCCACCCCGGGCGGAACACTGGGCCCAGGCAGGGGCTCACGGGCACGGTGGGAGGGGGGGGGGGGGGGCAGGGGCAGGGAAGAGTCGTGGAGTCGGGAGCCCCGGGGGGAGCCGGAGGGGAGGAGCGAGACCGGAGCGGGAGGGAGGGGAGGAGGGGGGGGGGCAGGGGCAGAGAAGAGTCGTGGAGTGGGGAACCCCGGGGGGAGCCGAAGGGGAGGATCGAGACCAGAGCGGCGGGAAGGAGGGGAGGGGGGGGGGCGGGAGCGGGAGAAGACGAGCAGGACAAGGCAGGCGGAGGGAGGAGCAAGAAGAAGATGAAGAAGTCAGAGACCCGAAAGTGGCCTTGCGGGGGGGGGGGGGAAGGGCATTGAGAAGCCTGGCTCCCACGCAAGAAGAGAAAACTCGAGATGCGCACCGTCGAAATCTCGGGGATCTTCTGACCCGGGTCAATCCAAACCCGGGCCAGCCAGGCCTTGCAGGATCCTGCAAGATCCTGCCGGATCCTGCAGAATCCTGGATCCTGCAGGATCCTGCACCCAAACCAGGGCCAGTGCAGCCCTGGCTCTGCAAGATCCTGCAAGATCTGGCGCCCTGGCTGACCCCCGTTTGCATTGACCCCCGTCTCTTGAGCCCCGAAAATCCCAAACCGTACGAGAGCCGGCGGCTTGGGATCATCATTTCAGCTCAGCGCGTTCCACGCATCGCCGTAGCACGCTCCCGCACGTCATCCAGAGACGGCGAGACGGTCCGAGGGGTCCATCGTGAGGCAGCCGTGGCTGTCGTCCACATGGCCGTGAGGAAGGGGGAGAACGAGGAGGAGGAGGAGGAAGAGGAGGAGGGAGGAGGAAGAGGAGGAGGAGGCGGAGAAAGAGGGAGAGGAGGAGGAGGACGAGGAGGAGGAGGAGGATATCATAGTGATGAGGAGGAGGGCGGTTCGGCTCAATGTGCTTGCTTCCACGGAGGGGGGGGTGGAGCTTTGGGCGGGAAACGTATCCACATCAACGGCCTCTAGGGCCGAAAGCATGGGCCGCGACCCTTGGGATATGGTTTTTTTCCTGGATGCCTCGCGCGGAACGTATCCATGCGACGGCGTATCAATGGGATCGCGCCCCCGAATCCAGACCGCGAGGGCGTGGATACGGATATGTTCGCCGCTCGTGAGAGAGTGCGAGCAAGGGCAGGAGCACTAGCAGCGGAAGGTGCAGGAGGGGTGGCAACACGAAGGAGAGCGTTGAGAGGCCTGGCAGAGGCGAGGGCCGAAGAGGGATGACCAGGGCCCGCGGCGGGGACCGGGAGCGGGAGGAACTCACGAACGAGCAGGAGCACGAGCGGGACAACAGCATCTCCACGTCTCTCGCTCTGCGCACATCGCTTCCTGGTTGGGTGGCGCCTGCACGTGCCGTGGCACTGCGTGGGAGCACGATGGGGCACCATGCAGCAACAATCATACTGAGAGCGGCAACTGGCACGCTGTGAGCACATGTGGAATTCAGATGCCGGTGCATGGCCGTCGCAAAGAATGTTTGAGGGTCGCGGGCGAACTCGACCAACCACGCCTCTGAAACAAACATCATGCCGCCCACTGCTCCCAGAACAGCCCGCTGGGCGCGCCAGGTTGTGGTAGCCGAACGGCACCAGTTCTCCCGCCTTCATGCCTGCAATGACAGCCAAGGCAGACACACGTGGTTTCAATGCGTTCTTATCTTGACATGCTGCGCCTCCACGCTTCTCATCCTTCCACGCCCTTCCTCCACTGCCTCCGCCGCCCTCAAAATGTAGCGGATATCCTTTAGTGCACGCAGCCTCTGCTGCAGGCCTGACGCGGCGGCTCCGAATTGCGGAACGCGCTCGCGTACATGAAACAAGCCGCACGCGCTGCGCATTGCACTGGCAATATCGGATAAGAAACCTTCCTGGAACCCCCGATTCCTGGATCCCACGGGGTGTGTCGCGTGTTCCCGCTAAACTTGTTCAAGGGCAAGACGGCCCCCAGCCAAGAGCAAGAGGCCCCCAAGACGGTCCAAGAGGCC